AGAAAATAAATATAATAAGACCAGTGAAAACAAGGAGGTGAAAATGAAATGGACTTTGGATGGAGGATTAAACAATAGCAATGACTGAAACGGTCTTTCGTGATCCTATCTAGAAAACTATCATTTCTCTGGAGAAAAAAATGTACGTAAAGCACGTTCTAAGTTTCTCTTTATTGTTTTCTTTAAACGAACGTGTCTAAATCTACTTTGAAGAACACGTGAAACGTTACCGTGAAAGATAATGGAATTATAAAAAAAAAAGTCGTCCTTTCGACAACATTACATCTGTGCCGTCTTTAATAAAAACAAAATAGCATTTTAATACCCACCACATGGTCTATAATAATAGTCAAAAGTATACTGTATATAGTGAGTATTATCAGTATATAGAAGTTACGGTGTTATTACGTATTATAAAAGGGTAGAACCGAAAAGGTTTTTAAGTCCAAACAATAATATTTCTTGGTGTTTGCGATATATATTATTATATAATACGCAATTCAACTGAATATCAAAATATCGCGATAAACAACAATTTATATTCCATTTTAGATTTATATGAATTGATAAGATTATTATTATATTAGGTTTATTGTGAACGCACAGACGCCATCGAACGACGGAAGAATGAAATTGAATTATCCAATTATTAGAAGCGAAAAAACGTTTTTTTTTTTTTGGTAAGGAAAACTTTTCATTTTCGACTTTAATTTTTTTTGTTTTTCACACAGATAAACAAAATATACTTCATGGATACTATAAGATAGTGTATAGAAAGTATAATATACACTGTTTAGTTTTTGTTCCACTTTGTTATGATCTCGTGTCTTGGGGAAAAATGTTGATGGAAGTATTATATATATATATATATATATATATATATATGTGTGTGTGTGAAGTTAACAATAATTTACGAGTTGAGGAAACTTTCACGCTCCAAATATTATCTCCGTGGTATGTCGACCCTTTTTAGATTAAGCGAAGACGAATTTAGCAGTCAAAATATTCGTTTGTGTCCGTGATTTATAAAATACCGAGAAAACTTTTGTGTGGTATAATATCGTGGTATGCAGTATACACCCTTGGTTATAACATAAAGAAATAGCGAAGCGTCTCCAGCGGTCATCGAGGGATTCGCAACGCGGCAACTTAAGAATATTATTATGTCAAGGATTACGAAGAAAGTTGAATGGTTCCTGCTACATGAAGTTACTGAAAAGTCATTACGTAATTAAGATTTATAGTCCGTAATGAAAAGAGAGATAGAAACGCGACCGGCGAACAATGTTGATCTAACCCTTTTTTTTGCGATAACACAAACTGTTCGATTGGAAAATAATATTATGCTGAGTCTTAACGTAATATTATCGATCATAATGGCCCTACGGCTCACGGTACACGCAAATCAATCGTAATTAAATCGAAARTGTATTAATTATTCAYCAAAGAAAGTTATTCGCGGTATTGTAGTCGCGAAAGTCGGATTGAAGTTTAATTTGAATTCATGTTGTGTATACTCTGTGACAGACTAACGTTAATCTAGGGTTATTGAAATTTGTTGCATTCTTGATTAATTGATTATACGAGTTAATGAGAAAACGTTAATTAAAACATATTTTGTACGCTCGACTTTGCACTGTAGCTATATCGTGGGTGAAACTTTTTCGACTTTCGACGTTATTGCCGATTCGCAATTGCTTTTTTTTTTCTTTTACAAGGATAAAAACTAAATATGGCAGGCGAACTGTAGCTATAAAATAATTAAACGCGATGAAATATGATGGATTTGGATTTTTAGATTACCTATACTACGGGGTATTCCAACGTGCATTCGGATTATTATTTAATAACTATAAGGGCTGAAGACTATATATAGTTTACAACCGTCTTATTGTTCAACGTCATGTTCATACACAAACTTTTGTGCTCGTTTAAAGCTGTTTCGAGTTTGACTATTGGGAAGGGGAATAAGGGAATATTATCGTTAATAACACTCCTGTCTGCTTACATAGCCGACGGTATAATATACAACGAGTGGGTACACCGATGGAGTACCTTTTAGTCTGCAAATAATATTATACAATAATAATATTAATATGGGTTTGAAGGTTTAAAACGTTATAGGTATTCTACTGCAGTTAGAAAGAAACAWCGTTGCTCGATATTATGCTTTACTGCTTTATGCTGCGGCAATATTATAGTGATTTATTATTGTCTATTGCTTTTGTTTTTCTCGCATTTATGAATAACCAAAGTGAAATAATGGGTCTTGTATAAAATTGAATCAAGTATCGTGCTGATTTTGCAGTTTACAACCGTAAATAAATGTACAAATATAATATAGTATAAATATATATATAATAGTGGTACTTACAATACACTGCTGGGGACCCTGTCTGTTGGGAGACATAGCTTTCGCCACCGGTTTTGACCGCCTCGACATATTTAACTTGCTCAAATCTGCTGACTTAACGTCTTCCGAGCTGCCAACTGTAAAATGGAAAAACTGATAATTAATTCTTATTCTAAAACTATAGCCATCATCATTTAATTTATATATATATTTTTTTTATCACAGATTCCAAATAGTTTCATTAAACTTGATAAAAAAAAGTAGTTGGGTACATTTATGTGACATTTTAAATGTGTTACAATAATTGAATATTATATATTTTTATTTGTGAACAATAGTTAGAACGAGATTAATATATTAATTATTTTGAAAATGTTGCTGTTTTCGGATATTTAAAATTAAAATAAATAGAAATATGTTTAAACTTTTTTAAACTATCATTGTTTGTATTTGATTTAATTTACGAGTGATAATTAATCAAAACAAAATTGGATGAATTACCTACGGAAAGAGAAAACAAATCAAGAACTAGAGTTAAAGTTTTAACTGTGGCTTAACATAATAGTAAAGAAAAAACATATCTACGTGYCAGGGTCGAAAACATAAGATAATCCTTCACAACACATAAAATCGAATTCATAATAATTAGGTGCATTTATTACATAATTATGATATATTTATAATTCGCTTGCATTTTAGGCATGTGTAAAATTATGTCAATTTTCTAAACTGACATAAAAATTATTATCATCATTTAGTACATTTCGATGAAATGTAATAATAATCATCATTTTTCGCTATAGGCGGCTCACTCCTGCAGCAAAAACTGGGCAGATTGCGGTTAAGTGATTTGGTCGTCGTGTACCGCACACCCGCAAAGCCCAGACACTAAGACTCACACTCCCATCACACACACACTCATCAGTCATCTCTCCCTCATTACATTTAAGAGATCATATAATCCGTTCTGAACRAAAAACCGTCGGCAAACATTCACTCCCGGTGGTATTTGTGGCGGGGAATCGTCAGTTGTTGACGGTGAAAGAGGAAAAGGAAGAGGAAGAAGGGGCGAGAGAGAATGAGAGACAACGAATAAAGACGATATAGTTTAGAGATCGAGCGTTTGCTTTGACGAACCGCTACCGAATAATATACTCTTAGCTTGCGTGTGCACATAATAATGTATTATTATGTGTTTAATATATATATTAAACGCACGAAGTAGCGGCACAACGGCCGATCTCACATCGCGATTGGCAACGAATGCGTCGAACGCGACAAGATTAGTGACGTAGATATCCTAGGGYAAAGTGAGCAGTCCCCGGTGCCTCAAAACTTAGGAGGCCTTATTGTCACCTTGAGGGCCTATCGTAATTTTTCCAAACATTTTATACCTACTATTTATTAAAAATAATAAGACTATTGTTAATAATAAAATTACAATATACCGTATGTCGGTATAGTGTATACCCGTCCAGATTTTCATGGCTACAAATTACAATATGTATAATATTTTAGATTTAGATTAAAATTATGTTGGTCTAAATTAATTACTGCTCCGGACCCCAGTCCCATCTTGCTACGTTATCGGTCAAGAGGAGACGCACACTTCGTAGGTATATCGCGTATTATAATATACATGTTATAGCTATAAACACATAGTACACGACCGTAGCGAATTCGACTCAGCTATGACATAATAATTATTTGGTATCGGTTCTCCGAGAGAAAACACAGGCGAAGTAATAATAATGAGATTCGGTCAAAACGCGAGTGTCACGTATAATATGGAAAATACGTGGTCCAGAAAATGATCAAAGATACGACGCCTCAACCAATGTGCACCGAACAAAATAGTTCCGCTATTCAGAGATATTGGTTACACCACGTTATTATTACATTGCGTTTTATATCGAGTTGGAAACGTAATACTTTATTACTTTCAGCACATAATAATATAATAACCTGGTATATAGCTGCGGCTTATACATATTTTACACATCCTATACTCGTACTAATATTTTAACAATGTAATGAAAATATATAATATATTTAAGTGTTATATTATAATAATTGTTGAGCTATAAATAGTTCTATACGTCACTGACAAATAAAATTATCCTTAAAAAAAAAAACAAATCAACGTTGATTCGACGACGTCTTGTAGCCGTTTTCGTTTTTGCGGTGACGTTTACGATAATTATTAAGAGTTATTTAAAACGCACGAAATACACGCGAAGATAGTTATATTTTATACCGAAGCTCTAAAATCTCAAACGTGGGCAAACAAAAGGGTTGTGTGTATTTTTGCGCGATGCTTACATTTCACATTTGTACGATGACGGCGATGATGAAAAGTTTGACTTGTTTATATACGTGCCGAGATTAAACCTAATATTTGAGAAACTAAATTTCATCTGTAAACTACAATAATAATAATGATATAAGCTCATCTCGTTTCGAAAACGCATGTGAGGAAATCCGAAATTGAGTACTCTGGCTGCTCTATACCTGCAACCTCACTTTGATTACAACACACACACAAACCACATTGTTGGAGGGCACGGACAGCGTAACTACAATAATATATCGAGCTCGTAAAACACGTGCTGTCGAAATTCGAATGTTTATTATCTCGTGTGAGGTGAAAGAAAAAAAAGAAGCGTATCTGCAACATGCAATTTTAATTATGGCAATACAATATCCATTATTGTTTTATAATTGTGGATGAATAATAGATGAAGGCAAGCAAGTACAGAAGTCAATATTTTTTGCCACGTTTTCATTTTTAGGTGTACTACTTCACTCCGTCAAACTTCCCTTATCATAAATTCATCGGCCAACAAACATTATGAATATATGCAATCAAATTTTAGAATTTAATTCGTTTTACGATTATTAATTATATTTTATATTGCATCCAAGGATGGAAATTAAAACTGAGAAGGTCAGTACGCAGAAACACTRACTTCACTTAAGAGGACCGGTGGTGGCCCAAAGGTTTTCAACTTGGGACTATTCCGAGGGTGGGTACTGCAGTTACGAGGAAGCATATTCTGGAACCCAATATCATAATATTTTGAGTTCGAGTGCTGTTGTCGCATGAACGGATATTTATTTATTTTATRTATAATATGCATAAAAGAAGCGGATAGAATTATTAAAATGAGAACGCCACTGTTTATTTTTWTAACAACTTTTCACGCAAACCTCAAACATATCTCTTAATTATTTTAAACTTACGAATACTTTACGGCTGAGCTATGCGCCGTCTACTTTGCACGAGAAAAACGGTAAGTAGTGTTATATATTATATATATGTACGAGTGCATAGCACGACCGTAGTTGTCCGCGGTACTTAGTGAGAAAATGTCTGTTGAACACATTGCTGTGAACTTTAACTGCGCTCCGTTTACTTTCTCCCTCGTTTTATTTTTTTTTTATAGCACTTCTTCCGAATCTCATCAACCTTTTTATGGGGAATTCATTACACAACGAGTTTCCCGAGTAATATATTTTACATTTGCTCGTTTATGCCACCACCGCAACAAACGTGCGCCACGACCTCGCCGAACGCGCCACCAATCCAACCTAAGTAGCTATTTTATAATATATTATGTGCACTGGAAACGGGAATCGTCGTTAGAGGGTGTGCAGGTTTTCGGGGATGGATATATAGTAAATAAATTGTTCRGGCAAAAGTATATAGTACCTACGCCCCTGAAAATTTCGATTTATGGTACGCATGCGCCTCGGAGGGATGTGGGTTGTGGATATAATGGATATATTATATGAGAGCGGTGCGGTGTCAGATTGTGAAATTTTATGGCCGTCGGTAGCRACGACGGAAACGAAAGATATATATATACATACCCAATAATCTATGTGCGACGTATATCATGAATATATACATATAGGTGGTGACAAAAACTATATATATATATTTACATATGGATAACGACGTGGAAAAAAAGAATTTTTTTCTTTTATTTTAATTGGCTTGTCTACGATCGAATACGTTTTAGTCGATATTACATTATTGTAATAAAATAGTATGGTCGATTACGATCAGATGTTTCTCTCATGTTTCTGCGGTTCCTAGATATCAATGCAGTATAAKTTTACGAGACAAAAATAAATCGTCCTCACACTCAATACACTGCAACACACCATTGGCGTGATTCATTACGGTGTGAGAATAACGCATAAATAATTTTATACGTAATTATTGTTCTCCTCGGTATAGAAAATATCGAACTGATATTGTGATATTTTCTTAAGATTTTGGGTAAGAGGCCCATGCTACAATGATATTATAATATTGTTTTACAACAATATGCCATTGAATATTTATGTAACTATTTTGGGACGAAAATAACACAACTTTAATCTAGCGCAGACGGTTTTTATCGTAACTCCGTATTTTATTTCCCTTATTATTCTACGAATTCATAACCGTGGTAATGTTATATCGATTCGACGAAATATATTTATGGTAAATGCATTGAAATCAAGTACCCATCAACCGTATAAATACATACATAATACATAGTTACTTATTATATATATATATATATATTTTACTTACAAAAAAAATCAACCTTGACTTTATATTATATTATGTATCATGCACGTTGCACTGCGCAATATTATTACACGTCGCAGTGAAAAACTCAATAATTATAATTTTTTGACGGTGACATGATACAAACCGTTAAAAAATAAATAATGATATGCAATACTTGTGTAATTTTATTAACTGTCAGTATAATTACAATGACCTATTTTGAACTCGAAGACAATAATGATAAAAATAAGTAGAAATAGGTACCTACCTAATTTAAATGTAACAATTATATTATTGTATATGAACGTCTAATGAAATATTAATTTACCCTGTTTATTATTTCTCATAGAAGCATAACGGTAGAATAGCGACAAATTGTCCGACTGAACTCTTTATTTATTTTCAACTGAATAGAATGATGTACAAATTACAAGTACAATAAAAAATAGATATTAAAACGTATTTCGAACGCGTGGTATAGTTATATAGGTTGACGTGAAGTTAACAAATAATTATTATAGTATTTCAATATGATGGATTTCAAGTTATTTAATGACTATTGCCGAAT